ATAGTGTTTCATTTAAAAGGAGGAACTATAAACACTTGAGCAAGCTTATTAAAAAGAAATTAGAAGGGCAACCAAAAGGAAACAGAGACTGCTAATAACAAGGATCAATTATATGCTGAAACATGGAGATTATCTAATTATCTAATATTTTATTAGTGAAGGTTAATTTGATTTTGAACCTGGTGTTCAGCAAAGTGAGTGTAGGGATGTTGGAAAAGAGAAAGCTGGGCCCATGGCTTTTGGATTCTGATCCTCATTCTGATGCAAATTGTTTATTATTTGATTTTTCAAATTTTTAAAAATATTAATCCTGATGTCAACATGTTATCCATGTCAACAACATGATGTTGCTCATACTTAAGGGATCTGTGTGGGGTACAGAGGTAAGAGTGCTAATATATCTGTCTTTTAGCTCTAATATTAATAACCTTGTTCCTTCTAAAAATAGAGTCACAGACACAGTTCTGTGGAATAAATACAAACAGGAAGTTTCATAACAGCTCTGTTGGACTAGACAAATATAAAATAAAGTTCTGCATCTGCCTGTAGGTCAAAAAAAAAAAAAAAAGGGCATTTCATTCTACCAGAGGGACAAAAAAAGAGGAAAAAGATGAAGTTATTGATATCACGATGGGACTTTGGGACATGATCAAGTTTTAAGTTTTAAAAATGATGGTTTACTTTCATAATCTCCTGATTTGAAGTTAATTATTGGACTTTCATTATTAATAGCTCACTGAGGCAGCAAATTGTAACAGCTCTGGAGTTTACATCAACACAACATGGGAGGAAAGTTTTATGATTAAAAAAAAGTGCATGAAATTGGAATTCTCTTTAACATTGGACTTTATTTTGTCATTCTGCTATTGCAATACCTTTGACTCTGCAAGTAGCTGAACTGAAAAGTGGGCTGGCATTTTTGCAGAGTATAGGGCTAGGATGGATGAGTAGTATTTGGCAGAATCTGATCTTTAGAAAGGATTAGGTCAAATCCATCGTTTCTTTCTTTCCTAATAATTTGTTATTAAAAAGTTACATAGGTCTTTTTGATGCTATTATGTTGAGCAGCAGTAAGCCTTGCAGGCTATTTTGCAGTAATGCAGAACACTGATGTGTTGTAAATGTAATTTCATTTACATTTGTATAAAATACTGGCATATATATGTAATTATTTTCAATTACTTTTGCATATAAAGAAATCTAATATACATGTAATAGTTCTTCAAAGACCAAACATTTGCTTGCATATCAGGAAAAAAAGAAATGGTAAGATGTGAATAGGATCAGAAACTACTCACCGTCGCTGTTAGAACACTTTGTTTAATTCCAGAGCAGTTGCTTCTACAAAAAGTTAAACTTGTTGAAATGAGGAAATCATTATGGAATTGTGGAGAGAAGAATAACTGAAAAAGTCATACTGTAGATGTGCGAATAACAGGAAAAAATGCATATAATTATGCTAAGTGCTGTTCTGAAGGCATGTTATTTTATGCTGTATTGCTACGTGTCCAAAATTCCACTTTAACCATCAGATATCTGCAGAGATTTCCTAGGCCTACACACAGAACTGGTTGTATAATGAGGCAGTCTTAAGACTGGAAATTAATTGCCAGCATACATGAACCACCTCTTTCGCATGCTAAGAACTAGTAGGAAGGGACAGTGGGTCTTCAATAGCCAGGGCCAGATGGTTTAAATGCTGCTTAAGTTACTACCTTTAGTATGTCCAAGAACTGTACCACAGCCAGTAGTCACAGATAGAGTTAAAACACGTGACCCTTTAGTATCATGCCGTGGCCAGTGGCAAGGGCATGTTGGCTCCAGAACTATCCCCTATTCAGTTTATCTTAGACTATTTTAAAAGTTTATATCCGCATAAGGCACCTAAAGGAACTGCTGCACTGGAAACAATGTAAATGTGGTACTGTGCTGCATGAGCTACAGAAGAACAAATGAATGAATGCCTGTGAAGCAGTACAGTGTAAAATCTGTGCTGCTTCTCATACTCGAGCTGGCTTGATTAAAGCTACTTGTGCCATCTCTGCAGTAGACTACAAACAGCCTGATGGAAAAGAAGCAGAAGGCAGGGGAAAAAGACCACCAGGAAGGGAAGGTCACAAGTGTGAATAAACCTACATAAATCTGAGTCTATATTCAATGACCAGGTGGTCATAGAGCAGTCTTGGATACTTTGATCCTCAGCTCCAGGTGCAGCACACCCCACTACAGGAACTGCCTACTCCACAGAAGGCTGTGTCACTCCAGTGATTTCACAGTGCACACAAATTAGACAATGTGGCCTACAGAATCAGATGTGAAAGGAAATAGGTACTGCCTGTGTCCTCTGCTCAGTGATGTCTAGAATCACAGTGACTCATTCATACTCTGTGAACATTTGGATATTCTAAAATGATCAATGGAGCATATTGCAACACACTTTTTGCTGAGTTAACTCTTTCCTAGCAAAACCAGGACAGCAACACATGGCCTTTCTGCATTTTGAGATGTTAACAATTTCTACTGGAAAATCATCTGATACCATCCCATCATTTCAGTTCCCTCAGTAGCTTTATCCTAATTCGTAGCTTCCCCCCCCCCCAATCTTTAAATGAACATGAATGTGTAAAGATGAGCTTACTGGGTCAAGACTAAAGCAGAGTGACCTGTCTGAAGAACTGGCTGAACTTTTACAGAAGGCAAATGGTAACCAAAGTTTTTAAAAATGTCCACCCAGAAGATCTGTGCACTGGAATAGGTCAGTCTATACATCCAAGGACATTTCTTGGGATTTACTTTGACCCCCAGTTTTCCTCTTGACTCTGCATAAGTGTTCTGCAGAGGTAGCCAGGAAATGGTTAAAGGTCCTGAACACATAGGGTATGATTTGGTATAAAAGGGAAAGGAACAGCAGTGTGAATAGGGAAGGAGGGAGAGACTGCTCTTCTGTTTGTTTGACATGATGCTCCTTGGTACTAGAGAGCTCACCTAAACACAGTTGTGGCATTGCTCACTGTTCTCCCTCCAAGGGAAGATTTTGATTTGTCTTTGGGAGCAGGTGAGCTTGAAAGATGTGGTGGGGTGGAAATTGTGATTTCTTTGGGGTATTTTCAGACAAGAAATAGATCAGTGAATAGCAGAAGTAATTGACTCACTTCTGAGCACCAGTGTCTCACATTGCTAAACCAAGGAAAATGTTTCCAACATACTTGTATCTGACCATTGCGCTTCAGTTAGTGTGGAGCAGAGGTGTTCTTCACTCACTTTGGAAATACACTCTTTGGATTCCCAAGGAACTGTGTTCCCCTTAATTTCCAGTTTTCTAGTATAAATTTAGGAACTTTAAAGGTAGTAAATACAACATCTCTGTGGATGTTTTTGTCAGAAAAAATAAAAAACCTTGCTCAAAGTATCCTAGTAACTGCTCAGTTTATGGAATTATCTGCTGTAGCAAAAAGTGTTAAATCCTCAACATCAAGTAAAAACCTTTCATCTTTATGAAAACCTCAAGTTAGATGAGAATCTTGAGCTAAACCCAAATTGGCAATGGAAGAAATCTTTGCCTGGTTAAAGATAGTAACACTGGCTTATCCATTATCCTCCATTATTAATAGGAAGTAACAGTTGGGAACAAGAGACACCACTGGCAGGAGGAAAGTGTACTGATTTCCTCCTGTCTTCACCCATCTCTAGAGCAGAGAGGTAGAACAGTTACTAAGAATCTAATTTTCTCTTTCATTTTTAGCTTTATGGAACAGAAATGCATCTGGCCGAGAATGCCCCCTAAAATTTGCAATTACCAGAAAAGCATTGTTATGAACTCGTCCACAACACAGACAAAAGGCACTACAACATGTTTCCCAATCTTTGCACCTGGGAATGATAAATAATAGTTCAGAAAATGGATTTAACCTTATAAAATCTTAACTACCATCACCAGAAAGTGCTGCAGCTCTACCAAGTCAATTCAGGCAAGATGCATAACATGATTTGAGTATGTAGAAAGGAGTTTTGTCAGTAATTTCAGTGCATTGCTAAAAGGAGTAAAAGATTTGAAGTACAAAGCAATCTGTTTTTCTGAATGAAAATTCAGGAATTTATTTGATTTCTAAAGCACAGGGTAAGTCGTCTCTCCAGTACAGCAAATGTGAAAATGATAATAAAGAAAGGAACGTTTTCTAGGGGAGACTCACAGCACCTTCTGAGAAAGATGGTCCATCAATTCATCTCTGTTGGAAATCTGACAACTACATCTCCCCTTTACTCTGTGGAGAGTGCCATTGTCCTATTCTATTATTGTCAAGAGCACAAAGGTAAAGTTTTCCTTGTCCTATTTTCTTTCACAGTCACAAAGGTTTTTTTTGCTGCAAGTAATCAGAAAAAAATCAAGCACTTTGAAACCATGTTCTTACCAGACCTCTGGATATGCACAGATGGCAATGTAAATAGCCTCATTAGTTAAAATCAGGAGGAACCAAGCAGCTTAGAGCTGTCTGTGAGAAGAGCTATTAAAAACAGAGCCTGAAGTGATTTCTGAGGAGGACACAAATGCCTCTGCCAGCTGCAGAAATACAAAGAGGAGGGAAATTTGAAATCCTCCCCTTTCACACACAATCTCTACAACACTTTATCAGTATGATTTAGATGAAGTTGACTGGGGGACAGATACTGTTTTCACAGGCGGGGAAGCAAAACCCTGAACAACGGCTGCAGTTACAAAATTAGTATAAAAGATGGAGCACAGAGAGCAGCTGAAGTAAAACAGAGAGAGGAAGTGTTTGTTATAAAAGAAGACAAGAGAGTAAAACCAATGAAAGGCTGAAGGAGAAAGACCAAAGACGAGGAGAAAACCAATTTTTCAAGCAGAGATCTTAAAGAGGAGCACCGTCTATGAACTATTGAGGGTTCTGCCTCTCATCACTTAATGATTGTTATCTCTGTATTTTTATTTCAGCAGAGAACCTGATCTCAATCTCTCACCCCTAAACTTTTCCTCTATTTTCTCACCTGTCCACAGCTATCGCTGTCATGGAGTAGATACTGGCGAAGACAGCTGTGATTGGGAAGAAGTTGTGGAAGCGGCAGTAAGCTTCTCCAAAGTACCATTCACTGTGCAGCGCATAGATGAAGTTGATGAGAGTATTGAAAGCAGCCATGGAGGCATCGGAGAAGGCCAGGTTCACCAGGAAGTAATTGGTCACCGTCCTCATGCGCTTGTGAGCCAGGATAATCCAGATGACAATGAGATTTCCAAAAACGGCCACTGCCACCACACCACCATAAGCCAGAGACCACAGGGCAATGCGCCAAGAGGGTTGCACAAACTGATTGGAGAAGTTGGCTGTTGAGGATGCTACTGAGGGAGAAGCATTTCCAGCTGGTGCTCCCAGCGCCAGTCCCCAGGGATCGCCTGCTGCAGCAAAGCTCATGTTCCACCTGCTGCTTATGCTCATGTTCCAGTTGGCTGTGGGGACAGAAGTCATCTTGGATGCTCCTCTCCTCTCTTCCAGGAATGATGTGCCTGTCCCACCTTCCTCTCCCAACCCTCCAAAATCCCTACTAACAGATAAGAAGAGGAAAGAAAGAAAAAAGGAAGTGAGGCAGCACAGCAAGTACTGGGAAGGAGAGATCTGTCAGAAAAAGCTTTGGCTACAGTGTTCAAACTGTTAGAAATGCTGTACCAGCTGAGTCAGGAGAGCTACCTCTGGGTAGAACGGCATCCCATGCTTCCTCTGTACGGCCACCTCTTGCTTTTGATTTAGCTGAAGGGGAAGGGGACTGGGAGCCAAGGCACATTTTATAGGCTTGTGAGTTCACAGCGTCATGAAGGGAGTGGAGCGATAAGCTGTCGGCTGGTAAGATAACACCTCCTTCTCTCTGTTCTCCCTCCTCCCCTTTTATTTCATTCATTGCTAGCAGCAGGCACTTTCAGGAGCTGTGGAGAGTGCCACGGGGAAAATTAATTCTTGTCTTGTTTTTGTTGAGAGATTTGGTTTATATTGCCTTTCTTTAAGTTTCATTATTGTGCTTCCTTTTTAAATAGTCTTTGTGCCCTGTCTTTGCAGGGCTAATTAGTTGGCTTAGTTGGACATCCCAAGACTGAGACTGCTTTTATTAAAGCTGTTTCCAGATGAATTTATGAATTTATTCCAGATTAATTCAGATCTGCTTTTTTGCTGCTGCCTTTTCATTTAGTACATGATTTCCTTTTAATCATTCACTTAACTACAGATTTTGAATAGTGACCCTTTTCAGATATAGAAATACATCCTACTGCTCCCTAATTTCACTTTTCAATGTGTAATATGTAAATGATATCAAGAAATGTTAATAAAATTAAAATGTGACTATCTTTTTCTTACAGCACCAGCTTTGGTGTGTATAAAGGTATTTACATGTTCAGCAGACAATGATTTTTGTTGAAACACTATGCAGCCCTAAAGATAGATGCCCTTAAATATGGGTAAAATGGTAGGGGCTTGTTTCCTTTGTATCTCTGAAAAAAAAAATTTAGTTCTTTTTACTTATTTGCATTTATTCCACACTTATTATTACTATTTTGAGCCAACGATATTTTTATATGCAGCGATTTCTATACGGGTAGAAAAGGGTAAATGAGGAAATTTAACACCTGATGTTTTCACATCCCAGAAATCAGTTTTCTTGTTAATATGTTAACAATGGCCATCATTGGGAATGCATGCTTTGTGCAAAGGCTGATTGCAAGGGACTTCAACTAAAAACCATTGTCATTCAATAGGCTGCAGTCTTTAGGGAGAAAATGTGTTTTACTGCTGATTTGCTCCATGCTTCAACAATTTAGAGCTACTACTTGTCATCAGCAGAGATTTCAACTGTATCACAGCAGTGGGAGCTATTCAATACCCCTGTCAGCAATGACACATTCTACATTTTTTTAAAACAAAAGCTTAATACAAAAATAAAATATTCCTGTGTGCCACTTCTTCCCTGCTGTATTTACCCGGTGGAAGTAGTGTCTACACTTTAATTGTCAGGTATTCACTGCAGTTTTAATTTGAATGTCTGCAATTGTGACCATTTCTATGTGCTTCTCAGATCTCACCAGCTGACATGGTCCCAGGTAGCAGCCCACCTCAGGCTTAGGAACTCTGCTGAAAACCACCCTTTGCTACAGCATGTCTAGAACCTACCCATATACTGCAGGTCTTCACCACAGGAATACCACAGTTCCATTTTGAGTCCCACATCTTCCATCTGCATAGTCTTCCATCCTCTCCCTGGAAGTCAGTCTCAAGAAGGGAATAGCAGTTCACACGCTGTTTCCCCAATAGGCTTTGTGCAGTGCTCTCAAGAGATCCCATAGTAAGTAAGAAACACTGAGTCAGCAGCGACTGTAGTAGTGCTGAGTGGGTTGAACCACTCTTTTAAGTTAGCTTAAACTATACTGAACTGTAGAATATATTTCTTCTGCCTATTTCAGCTAAAAACCAGGACAATATATATAGTGTAGACTTCGGGAAGGCAGTGAAGAATAAGCAGTTGAGTAATTCAGGTGCACTCTCCTGGTAAAATCAGTGGTGTGCTGGTGAGAGGGTTAGTAGCTAGGGCTCTTTGTTGTATCATATTGTCCAAAATAGGTCAGTGGGATAGGCTGAGAGAATCCCATACCTGGGCAAGGAAATAAATGAGTCTGAGTGTTGAAAGAATTCAAATGTTGGTTCCAGTGAGTGAGGGATACTGGACTGACTGGTTATAGCAGAGACTTGGACACTCAACTCTTGACTCTAGAAATTTCATTCAAGATTGTCATATGGTTGTGAGCCAGAAAACACGAACCCAGCCCTGTGCCCTATACCTTTCCACCTTTATGCCCAAACTAGTAACTCTAGACTGTATCCTTTTACTAAGCTGATGTGTTCCACGTTCCCACACCAGCTGCCCAAGTCTTTGTGCCCTATATGCTTCTGTTGCTTCCACCCAGCTCTCCCAGCCTCAGCTCTACTACTCCTTTTCCTCACTTTCAGCAGAGACACAGGGGCCTTACTTCTTACACACAGTACTGCTAAGTATGCAGCTGAGTGCAGACCTATAGGAACAATATAGAAAATAGCACCTGCAGTAACTTCCCCTGTATAGAAACATAAAGGACCTGTGTTTGAACTATTTGTTCTGGTCTTGTGTGCAAATTCTGTCTCAGTGGAAAATTTCCCTAAAAATATGCAACTTGCAGTAGTTCTGCACCAATGCTGCAAACTAGGGGCCGTATTTTGACTTTGAGGGCAGGAGTCTAATTTCTTGTTCCCATTTTCTCACAGGAATGAAGCCTTTTCTAGCTCTCTGTCTTGGAAAATTGCTTGCCATTGCATACTGCGTGTTCTGGAGGGACCATTCCCATATGCATTTCCCTAATCCTCTGCAGTACCGCCAAGGGAAATTGTTCTCCTCAATCCATTCCTAGCCATAGTGTGAGAAGCTAGTACAAGTCAACACCTCATTGTGCGAGCAAAGCTATCAGTAAATGGAGTCCTTGAGACTTGCTTTAAACAAAAATCAGGAAGCTTTTAATATTCTGTTTCTGAAATGTCAGCCAGACCACCAACACAGTATGTGAACAAAAGTGTCAGCTTTGCAGTGTAGAAATGAAAGTGTCATTGACTTCTGTGTTCCTCTTCAGGGGTACCCTGAGGAAACTGAGGAAATATTCCACCCCGCAGGGAACTTTTTATACACTGTGCTCTTTCCCATCCTCTCTTCTTACATGCATGAGGAGAAGAGAAACTGTGGTGTACCGTTAGCATAGTTCCCTAATCGACAACCTAGATTTTTCATTAGTTGCTTACTCAGTAAGCTGAATGTTATATGTTGTGTTGCAGCAGATATCCAAATGTGGCAGAAGAGGTGGCTAAGTATTTGGAGCTGTTTTGTTTCGAGAAACTGAACAGCACAGGGCAAGTGTTGTGCCACTGTGTCAGCCTCCTATGGGGAATATTTACAGTTCCTGTTGGAGAGGAATATAAAAATTTGCTAGAATAAATTCCTCTGTGCTCTAGCTTTCATTCTTATTGAAACCCTAGAGGAGCAGTCGGGTACAATCAATTGAAGCAAAACCAGGTTCTCCTACATCTAAAAGACTGCAGCAAAGAAATAGGTTGAGCTGCCCTTTAGCACCTCTCTTGCTAACATTTTATTTAACTAATTAAGGAAAGAGGTTAGGCAGCCAGTAGTTAGCTCTTGCCTAGAGAGGAAATTCATTTGGACAGCGAAGTCAGCTGTGCTTCTCCATCAAAATTTGTGTTGATTATACATGTACTGATTGAAATTTGTTCAGCTGAAGGTCATCAGCATTCAGTTTCTGAAATAAGTTCCACAGCTACTTTGGTGAAAACATTTGTATTAATAACTTCTGTGTAGCAAAATCTGCTTGACTGTGGTGAAACTTGTGCAAAGGAGCAGTACAAGAGACAAAGATCTGTTTTTTCTCAGTCTCTTGTAGAGAAATAATGTAGTTGTAGAGGGTAACCATTCTTGCATTTTCTTCTATGTACCTGTTATAAGTACATATTTCTTGTGTTAACTTTTTGCTTATTTGATCTTATGCATATTCACAGTAAGAATGTTTCAATTTCCTCTAGGGAAGACTGTACTCAATTTTAGAGTGACTGCTTTCTGGTCATCTGCTATTTGCTGCTCTCTTTTGCCCTTCCACTGATAGCTACTTTGTGCTTGTACAGTCACCTGTGGTTAAATTTGCAGCTCTCAGCTGTTCCCTATTCCCAGCTTCACAGAAATACTTAAAAATGTGAAAGAAATAACCAAAGTGTGATTGGAAAAGTAGCTGTGATTGTTTGTAGTTCTTCTTTTGTGTTATATAGCTTGAAGCTATTTTTCCCAGTAAAACCTTTCCTACTGAGCTCAGAGTGGAAGATAAGATCTTAACTTAGTATCTTGACTACAAGGTAGATTTATAAATTATTCTATTCTTTGCTACTTATGAAACTACGATTTGATCTTCTACAGGTTTTCTGGTGTACTTGAAGATTTCATCTGAAGTCACTCTTCCGCTAAATTCATCTGTGTGCTATTGGAAAGAGAGCCAGAGAGTATCAGCAGAAGTGCACAAGTAGGGATTTGTAGCAAAATAGCAGCCTGCAAAGGTGCTAATTGCATCATCGTTAGTTAGAGCAGTTCTGTCCTCTACACAGATCTGCCCTCTGTGATTCCTTTCTTTCCTGTAGAGCACTGAGGGCATTGCTAAGTTTGCTTTTGTTTTTGGATTTGCTTGCTTGATAAGGTGTAGCCTAATGACCTCCTCCCTCCTGCATCCACCTGGAAGAGATGATCCTTTAGCAGCTGCTTTAGTGGTCCAGATTTTTTCTTCAGCTTTGATATCTCCTGGTCATCAGTCAGTCACGCAAAGCTTTAGCTATGACAGGAGAGTTTTTGCAATTTAAGGGTGCTCAACACTGTCCTATTTATTATGGCTGCTTGTCAGCATTGTGTTGTTGTTATGTCAGTGCCAGCCTACCTGGATTTTGAACACTTTGCTTTTATTTGTGTAGCTTAAAACACAGCTTGAAAACTCAGTTTGAACTTGGTTTCTGATTATGGCTTATGAATGCAAAAGTCTCCTTACTGGCACCAACTGAAAATAACTCAGTAGGACATCAGGCAACTTCACAAGCGTGTGAGTAAGGATGTTGCAGCAAAGTGGTAGGCCAAAACTAGAAGTCTTGTATGTGACTTTTCATCATAGCTAGAGAGGGCCAGAAGACTGGGGGCAG